GAAGACACCAAAAAAAAAAAAAAAAGCAATATAATCTTTTAAAAAAATACTGTGAAACTAGTTATGTTTCCTGCATTACAAATCATGCAAGTTGCAGGTGTCCTGTATTCCTGGGAACAATTTTGAAAGAAAGAAAATTCTAAAATCACAGCACATCAGAACACTTTGGATGACACCATCTAGCCTGGGAGTATAAGGCTGCATGTAAGCAGAAGTCTTGAAAGTCTCTTTATGTCTAGATCTGTCAGATCGTTAGACAATTTTTAAGTAAAAATGACACTGAAAGAAGAGGCATTTTCATTTAAATAAAAAAGTGCCACTTTGATTTCCATAGAGAGGAAGGCAGAAGACAACCAAGTGCAGTATAAACACATTAGTGTACAGAAACATAAAGCACAGGAAACAAATGAAAATAATGTGAAGGTACACTGCTTAGCAGGATTTCTGATATGCTAGACAACCTAAATTGGTGCACTTGCTCTGAATGCAGTCCTCCTACATATGGGTATGTTGAATACACAGAAAAGGAGGTGAAGTGGCCATAACACATGTAAAAAATATTTACAGTGACTAATTCGATCTATATCTTTAAAGAAAAAGCATGAGAAAATTTGCCATATGCTTTAATGGCAGCAGCTCCTGGCAATCAGCAAAATACAGCTCCAAAATGCACAATGGTGAAATTGTAATGTGTCCACTGTATAATACCATCTGCTAGATAAAAAAAGGTGATCAAAATTTAGCTGTGGAACTCCTCACAAATTATTGCAATTTACAGCCCACTTTGCTCATGGGAGATTTTGACACTACAGATTCATACTGAATAATGCAAACAGTCTGACACTGATGAAAGTGTCTTCTTGACTGCAAGAGATTTTTGTGACCCAGAAAGTAAAAACTTCAACCTCAGGAGAATCTGTCTTGGAAGCAGTACTTATTTATAGAGACTCCAAGACTAAGGGAAGCTGTAATGGAGGTAATCACAATTGATAACTTGAATTCAGCACACAAGCAAGAAATAGGTTCACAGAGTGCAAGAACAGAAGGAGATGTGGCTGCATCAAGGAGATACTGAGGCCTGAAGAAATCTGGAAAGTAATATGGAATTCGTATAGTTTAGCTTTTGCTTTCAGAGGATGAGAAAAGGTACTCTCTTTCCATTCTTTGTTTACTAAACATCTGCAGGCAAATTTTATAAATACCAGATGCTCAGCAAAGTATCTCTTAACAGGTTGATAAGCTTATTCCAAAACAATTCAATATGTTATGAAGCCATCAGTGCTCTTGCACTCCACATTACTTTGACTTTGCTCCATCCTGTGCTTTCCAGCAATGAGAAGCAGCTGGTTTAAGTATCATTTATGTCTGAATGGCTAAAGATAGCAGTAGCTAATAAGAAAGAAAGAAGACTGAATTTAAGTCTCTCCAGAAAAAAACCCAAACAAAACACGAGAGGTCAGACCAGTGCTTCAAACTGAGAAGGCTATGTAAATAAAACAGAAGAAGGCCTCAAAGGAGCAGAAGCATTGTTGGGGTGTGAAGCACATGAGATGGCCAACAGATCACCTCCATGTATTCTGAGAACACTACTTCATGGCTGAGCCCTTAGAAAGCAGCTCCAAACCTCCTCCAAGCCAGAAGAAGACTCAGAAGATCGTCAAGATGGTCCAAATATGGTTTCAAGCACATTAGGCATTTTAGTACTCATTTCCAGACAAGCCTTTTCCTGTCACTTCAGCCGCACTAGTAGTTGGCAGAGTCTCTTGCGACTAGTCAGAAGGATTTTGGGTGGGTGTTCCACAGGGCTTGCAGGACCTGGGTGTGATATAACAGTTGTCTCACACCTGGGAAATGCTACACATGAGATAAAATGGAAGGGAATTATTTAGGAGATTAGCTAAGAGAAATTAATTATGGTGCAATTAAACGGTGGAATTAAAAAAAAGAGATAAAACTTAGCTGGTGCATTAGGAAAAACAGTCTGGCATAAACTACCTCAAGCTGATGAGTAACATGACAATTCACTATTACAAAGCATTGGTATTTGGGATATACCAAACTAGAGGTACTATTAGAAAATGCATCCTGGAGAACAGCTTGCAGTGACAGGAGAACGGACTGCATGATGTATTTTTGCTTTTTTTATTCTTGATCCGGGGTGTTTTACATATTCTGTAATGTGGATTAGCAATCTTTGAGCTTTGTGAGGTAATTCTGAGACAGCAATCAGTAATTTACATAATTAGTGTAACAGTATTTAATTACATGATTACTGTAAATATGTGTAAATCTCTAATGGTGTAATTAGAATGTGTAATTACTACTTGTAATTACATAATTAGGTATGATGACATATAAATAAACTTCTCATGAAAAAAAAGGATATTTACAAGCCCAGCTATAGGAACTGGTATAGTGCACAATTATATCGGTGGTATACAAACAAAAGTTATCATTTTAATGCTAGCTGTGCTAAAGCTAGATCAAAAGTAGATGAATGCTGAAAGTTTGTGAACTGTGCCACAGTATTAGAAGAATGCATTGACTTTCCTGAACAGGGGTAGTTCAGTGATTACAGTCAGTACAAACATTATTCCCACCTTTAATTATCTGTCATTTATTGATCACTCTTCATGTGCTTAGCTGAATAACATGAGTGTAAAGAGTGGCCTAATGGAAGTATTGAAATAGCTACATTTTGTAACATTTTCTAATACATACTAATCAGTAGTTAAGCACTATATTACTTTTCTCTTAAGTCTTCAGAGCACATCTAGTTTCACACTCTTCCCGTGACACCATCCTGCACACACCAGATTGGTGGCACCTCCATATGTGGGTCTCTGCCCAGAGGCAGTACAGAACGAACACCTTTTACCACTGCGCTCTAGTGCTGCATTGCCATGCCTCCCATTTACCACACCACACACGCTTTGGAGCCAACAAATTAATGCTTACTGCAAAGCACATTTTAAAACTCATTGTCCCTGATCTCTAAACCAAAGCAATTTGACTGTTGTATAGAACCTTATCATAATTATAAAAAATCTTTAACACTCAACAGAATTATCCTTTCAAATTCCTCAGTGTTCATCCCTACGGGCTAGAGGATGGAGTCCTGGGTCACAGTTGGGAGCATTTCTCTACAGAACCACCTCCTGGAAGATCATTTGACTAGGTGATTGGCTTACCAATGCACATTCCCTAAGCATGACACAGAAAGACAGAATGTAGGCAGCGTATTTTGCAATTCAGTAATCGACATTAGCAAAAATATTTCACCATTTCAATATACTGGAAATTTATATTTTTTTTGTACATGTGTATTTTCTGTTATATCCTCTCCAAAATAGAAATATGTATGTGTGTATAAATATGCATAAACATAAAATCAAATCCAGTATAATATATAATGTGTACAATTTCACACACAAAACCTATGTTTACATGTTATGGTATATACATCTGTAAAAAGAGAAAGAAATAGGAAATAACAGGTGATGATCCAGAAAATGCAATGATCACTTCAATAGCTGTGACTACCCCATTTCTAGCAAAACAGGATGTTAGTTTTATGTGATCTATAATCTGAGCAATATTCATGATGCAGCCAAAAAAACAAGGGATAAACTCTGAAGAGATGGATGAGACTCCTGGTAGAATTCCAATTGGTAATTCAATTGCACCTTATAAGGAAATACATGGAGTGTTTCACTGGCAACTTTTACGGAAAACTTTAATAGATGTTCATTTTTTACAAATATTTTACGGTAGCCATATAGGCCTGTAAAATTTCTCAAAGCAAATATTAATCTTTGATTTCTCTCTAGAATTATATACACATTAAGTTAGATGCCTGAAATCTTTTGTCTGTTGCATATATAAATCTGGGAATTCACTGAGGCTACTTGAAAAAATTCCCAGCTTGTCATTTGTGGCTATTGGTCCATGTTGCTTTCTTTGTGATGCATCCATAATGTAAACCTAGAAAAGTGAATCCTATTCTTTAACTTTCTTATGGTTTCATTTATTTAGCATTCAACTTGTAACATTTTTTATTTTACTTTTCCTGCTACTCATAGTAGATCTTCCTTTAACTAGAAATCTCCTTTCTTGAATGTGATGACATCATTTTTTCAGGTATTTTGCATATAGTATCTAATGTTACAAATGCTAATACATAAATACTTTCCTTTTTCTTCTTAAGTTACCAGGCTTGACATGTTGTGGGACTATTAGCATTTTCCATGACATCATTGTGTTAGCATCCTTTATTCAACTAAAACACAGGCTTTGTTCTCTGCAGCATTTCAAATCCATGAGCCTCTAATATCTATTATTAGCTGTTAAGTTAAGGTATATTGCATTTCATACCATAGCAGTTTATTCTATTTTTCTTATTTTGGCCTTCAAGATTATATAGTCTTTCATATGTGAAGAACTCCTCTGTAGTTATGGCTTTAGGAACCAGACCTTTATAGTGCATTCATAGTCAATGTTATTGGTAAGATCATGCGAGGTTGTTCCCAGGACAGATTCAGGAGAAATTCCACTAATGACTTCTCTGTAAACCACTGATCCACCTTTCAGAGGCTAGATACATGTCAGAGAAAGTAACGTATATTTTTGCCCTGCTCTAACACTTGTTGATATCTGCTAAGAATTAATGTTGAAGACAGGACACTTTGCAAGATGAACCCCTAGCCTGAACCAGTTTTTGTCTTTTTCTACTTTACACTATTTACTCCTTCTTGTTTAACTCTTACATAATAATTTTGGATTTTGCCAATGCTTCTATCATGTCAAATGATTTACTTGAATGCATGACAGATTTGCTTTCTTAAATTTCCTCCATTTTGAAAAGAGTTAATGGCTATTTTGATCATTACGTATTTGTAGACTAGAGAAATATTTCCCTAGTATACTACAGTTGTTTCTGCAAAAGAAAATATTTATTTATTTTATTGTAAAAAATAGATGTAAAAACATGCAACACTTACTCTGTTGGCAGTTTCTTCCCATAAATTCACCTGGACATTCACAGGAATAGTTGGCCACGAGATCTGTACAGATTCCACCATTCTTGCAGGGTTCGGCTTCACATTCATTTACATCTGCAGGAAGAACAGAAGATAACGTCAGAATTAGCAAAAAGAAATTGTAAAAGCAATAAGGACGTTTTAAATCACTAAACCACAATTAATTTATACAATTGACATTAGAAGACATACATTCTTTTGCCCAGCAAGCATGCTCAGTAAAGGATGTGATCAAACAGGGCATATTTTAATGGAGGGAATGGGGGGCGTAAGCGATCTCATATAGATTTAGCTGGTTTCATGTACCTAATAAAGTTTTCCTATGTCGCATCACACAACAGAATTAATTTAAAGTTTTGCTCAGGGATTTTTACTGTAACTTCCAGAGGTCATCACGGCCACAAGTCACAGTTTGGCCTTAAATAAACAAATTCAAGTAGTTCTAACAGTACTTATTAGTGATTCTTGCAACTTCAAGAAATGGAGCTACTTCTTTATCAACAGATGCCAGTTAAGAATGTCTCTCTGTTCATCTTAATTCATTAAACATCTAATTGACAAGGTTGTTTAACTGTCTAAAAAATTTCCTTTCTGTGCATGAGTTAGTGGGCAAATTGAAACTAATAGCTTGATCTGGAAGCTTGCAAATTTTATTAAATTCAAAAGGCAGAAAAGGTGCTTAATTTCATTTGAATTTCCCTTCTCCAGGACACTTTGTCAAATGCTACAAGAACAATACTCCCCTGTGTTTTTCAGTGTAGTAACCTTCAGGTATAATATCAGATTCATTTTCTCAAGTGAAATATAACATTTTTCAGTCATCATGAATAGGCAGATGAAGGATGATGACACCTCATAATTAAAATTCTCTGTCTCTGCATTTATGTTTATTCTGTATGGAGGAGAAAGGTTGTATGGATTTTACACATCATTGTCTCAAAGGGCTGCACCAACGTGTACAGTTAAATATTTAAAAGATGGTAGCCCACATTAGCTTCATTGACTTGAAGCCCTGCCGTATTAGACACTGTAAACAGCAAACAAAAGCAGTCTTTAGCCTATACTACAATTTTACTTCACTCAGTTTTGCTTACGTGCATATTCACTTTGGATACAATTGCTGAGAAGGCACACGTGTGCATAGCACAGAAATAAATTCAAATGAGAAGACATTTAACAGAGATGAGCTAGTTGCATTCACTGGTGGGCAAAATGCCCTATTAATTGAAGTCATACTCCTCACTGTTGTGTTGAAGCTTCTTCTGTCCCCAAAATGCAAACCTGTTTTCCACTGCATATACAAACTAAAGAAGATGCTACATAAATGTCTAAACCTGATGCAATAAGACTTGTGCAGAAGAAGCAGAATTCAGGTCTGTCTACAAAGTTGTTTGATTTCTGGTAGTTGAGTATGTAACTTTTGTACTTTAAATTAGATCTTTTACATTTAGTAGGAATCTATGTACAAAAAAGCAGTGTTTTAATACACATCTTGCCTAGATCTGATTGAACTTGTGATGTCTCCAGGATGACCTCCAGTCTTTTCTACAACTCTAAAAATCTGTGCAGCTTTTAAGTTATGTGTGCAATGTATGTGAGGTAGGTTGAAAACCGGATGAATGACTGGGCCCAGAGGGTGGTGATCAGTGGCAAAAAGTCCAGTTGGAGGCAAATGACTGCTAGTGAGTCCCAGAAGTCAATACAGGGTCCAATACTGTTCAAAGTCTTCATTGTAGATCTGAATGGTGGGGCAAGGTGCACCCTCACCAAGGTTGCTGATGACACAAAACTGGAAGGAGTGGCTGATAAACCAAATGGGTGTGCTGCCACCCAGAAGGACCTCAACAGGCTGGAGAAATGGGCTGAAAAGGAACCTTACAAAGTTCAACAAGGGGAAGTGCAAAGTCCTGCCTCTGCCCCTGGGGAGGAACAGTCCTATACACCAGTACATACTGGGGGGCCAACCAGCTGGAAAGCAGCTTAGCAGACAAGGACCTGGGGGTCCTGGTGGACAGTGAGTTGGCCATGTGACAGCAACACACCTTCATGACAAAGAGAGCCAGCAGCCTCCTGGGCTGTGTTAGGTAGAACATTGCCAGTGGGTTGTGGAAGGTGATCCTTTCTCTCTACTCAGCACCGGTGACACCGCACCCAGAGTGCTGCATCCAGTTCTGGGCTCTCCAGTATGAGACATGGACATACCGGAGACAGTCCAACAAAGGGCTACTAGGATAATTAAGGGTCTGGAGCACCTCACCTATGAGGAAAAGCTGAGAGAGCTGGCATTTTTTAGCTTAAAAAAAAAAAAGGAAGGTCAGGAGGAAACTCATCAATGTATATAAACACCTGAAACAGGTGTGCAACAAGTGCAAACCCCTTTGCAGGGTGCAAAGAAGATGGAGCCAGGCTCTTTTCAGTGGTACCCAGTGACAAGACAAGAGGCAATGGGCAAACTGCAACACAGGATGTGCTCTTTCAACATCATAAAACACTTTTTCATTGTGAGGTTGACTGAGCAGTGGCATAGGTTGCTCAGGGCATTTGTGGAGTCTCCATCCGTGGAGATATTCAAAAGCCATTTGAATGTAGCCTTGGGCAACCACTTCTAGGTAGCCCTGCTTGAGCAGGAAGGTGTGGACCAGATGACCTCGAGAGGTCCCTTCCACCCTCAAGCCTTCTCTGATTCTACGATAATTTTCCTGTTGTTGTGAACAAAGCTGCAGGGACAGACCTTCAGCTAAATGTGCAGGCTAGTTTCAGGTTTTTGAACCAGAAAAAAACCCCAGATTTTTATAGTAAAATTGATGATGGATACAGATCTCTGAGCTTCTTTTTAATCCCTTGTGTCTTATTATTTGCTGCCTATAAAGATATCACATAATGGACAAATAAAAATTCACAGGGTTAGCTGAATTTCTGTCTGTTAAAGAGGAAGAAGAGAAATAACAGCTTATTGTGTAAGAAATAAAACCTGCCAAGGGAAATGACCAAAGAACAGACCTGCTTGATTCTAAATTAAATTCTTTATCTGTATTTATAAAATTTAACAAGATTCTTCAGCTCCCTATTTGCCTTTTTAAGCAAAGCCCATTAACCTTACATTTTCATCAGGTTATTCATCATTTTAATACAGGCTAACACATTTGTGGGAAAAAAATATCAAGGTCGCTGTGAACTAAAAAACATTAAGTGAACATATGAACTATCTCTTACTTGGTGAAATAAAGGTAGTAATTTATCCTCTTAAAAGCTTTTCTGTGTAAAGATAATATCTTCTCAAGGTATTTAATTTTTTCTAATTTGCCATTCATATTGAAATACGTAGAAAAAATGCACAACTTTCCAGCATATTCTGTACTGTCTATGTGGTGATGTAGAAAACAGACCAAACCTTAAGTACCAGATACGTTTAAAGCAATCCTCACATTCTTTCCCT